CAGTACACTATGAAGAGAGAGAACGGTAACCTTTCTTGAGGCGTGGAGGACAGGAAGGCGGGTGGGGAGGCGGTTATTGTTTGGCGGGAGAATCCCCCTCCCTACAGGAAGCCACCACCACGTGTGTCAGCAGGGAAAATGGCCGCGGATCCTGTTCGTCACCAGATGCGGAGTTCGCGAATGGAAGCAAAATTTTGCAAACGGTGCTGTTCGTGACCCGAATTGGTTGTGAACAGAAGCGTTCGTGACCCGAGGTACCACTGTATATATATTTTAACTTTCCAGTCTAGCCCACGGAACTGGGATCTCCTGCTCCTGTTCCATCCACCTGCAAACCAGATTCAACCCTGCTTGGCTTTTTGACATCTTGACCAGGCATGGCTTTAACTTCCTGGCATTGCCATCCTCATTCTATAAGCCTGATTTGCCTATAACCTTTGCTTAAAGTGGGTCCATGGGGTTAAATCTGGAATGAATTGTGGTTTTAGCTAAATATATTTTAAAATCAAAATATAAAAGAACTGATCAAGCGCTGTGATTTCCTATTTCCTTGCAGCAGAGTCAGACTTATTTATTAAATCAGTTTACCTTATTCAAAGGGTAATTGGGGTCCATAATTGTCATACAGTTTCCCAGCAGAAGTACAGAGTTTTTTTCACCTACAGTTTTTCTCGAATATTAACTACCCCCTTTTAGGGCTAAACCAGATAACTCACAAATGTGACATTAATGGGGGGCTCTGTAATTTCTACGATAAGATTCAAGTCTCGGAGACAAACCAAACAGCTGGGGACTTCATGGAGACACCCTGTAGTTTTTCTGGCAACAATATTGAAGTGGGTTGACACTGTCATTTTGGGGGATGGTTTTTCAACTCATCAGTCTATCCTACAGACTAGGAACTTCCTGGTGGGAAACTCCCCCCCCCCCTTTCCAGTAGTAAACAGGTCCAATTTTGCTTAGCTTTTTGAGATCAGCCAAGGTGCTGCAGGCAGCCAGATAACCCAACTGAATTTAAGCACACAGATACAAACATGTCTTAGTGCCACCACAGCCAAGCCATTCCCTCTGGGGATGTTTCTGAGCACTGCCCCAAGCTTAGTTTCCATACTTTTCAGCATTGGCATTTCCAGTATATCTCTTTCAGTTTTACTATCCTAACTCTTAAGATGTTGCCCTTGATCAGTGAGATTTCACTTAAGTTGGCTTGGTCTTTTTAAAGCTTTGGTGAAGCTCCATTTCATTGGGCCTTTTAAAGCATGGCTTAGATGCACTGTGATTAATCTGTTCTTACTGTATTGTACATGTAATTGCTTAGTACAGTGTGACTCTTGCAGCTGTAAAATGCTCTAAAAATAAGAGCCAGGTGGGGCAGCTTGTTCTACCTGGAGCCCAAAGACATGCCAAGAGCGAGGAACAGAACGAATTGCATGGGTTTGTCTATAAGGAGACAGCATTTATTTTGCAGGGCAGGTTCAATAACCTGTCAACCAAAATGGCAATATTGATCAATTGCAAAAGGGGGCGAAATGACTTTTTCTTCCTGAAGGCAAAGGTAAAAGCAGGACAATAGTGAAAATTCATTCTGTCAACTTGACGAGTTACCTTTAGTAACCTAGAAGCCAAACATTCATTCACTATATCACTCCAGTTTTGAAGTGCTCGTTTTTCAAGTAGGCTTACTGGTTTGTGGAACTTTTCACTTGCTTTTTAATTCTTCAAACACAGGCACACACATCACTACATCTGCAGTATGGATAAGATGGGGTAGGGAGAATCAGGGTCATACACTAGTTTTGTACAAAAGCTGACTGTTGAATGCAAAGAACCAATGTGCAGGAAAAAAAAAAGTTTTTTCTTAAATCTGGCACCCTCCAGTTGTTCTGGGTCTGCCCTTCCCAGAATCCACAGTATATATGAAGAATGCTAGGATGGGATAGCTGGGATCCCAGCAATAATCTAGACTGGGTTGTCCTGCTCAGCTGTAAGCTACTGTGCCACCCAGATGCCCATCCTCCAATTTCTCTAATCCACCTGGGAGGATAACATAGAGCTGGGAGATAAGTTATGCATACTAACTAGTGGGAGGAGAGGAATACACAAAAATGCAGCATTTTGTCCTGATTAGAGAAGCCTTGGAGCTATTTGAATGGAGCCACCAGTTGTGGCTCAAAAGGAGGAACTGCTGGAGGAGCGTCCTTGTCACCAGTCCCACAAGGGCAATGAGCTGCAGCCATGGCTACAGCTTGGGGAGTGGCCTTTGCTCGATCAGAAGTAATCCACCCAGGTCTCTGAAGCATGGAGGGATTGGTGCCTTTCCCTAAGGCTTAAATGTGTGGTTAATGTAAACCGCCTTAAAACGGGGTTGATTCCTGAGAGGAGAGCACTGGTCCCTGGCCAAAAGCCCCACGCTACGGTAGGATGTGGACCTGTTGCTTACTCTCTTCGCTTTTATGCACAACAGTGATTTTCAAGATCTGTAGAGTTTGGATATCATAAAACCCAAATCCAAGGTTGCTTTCAGCCCGTCCTTCAAAGTCACCAAGAAAGAATAAGAGTGGCAATAGACGGCTGATTTTTCAAATGAAGCTTCATCCCACTTCTACAACTGGACGGAGCAAAAGGAGGAACTCTTGCATGCCACTGCCAAATGTTAAAAAAGGAAGGGGTTAAGAAAGCCTTGGTAATCCTTGGGGTGATGAGGAATGAGGTGACTTTCAGAGCCAGGGGACAAAAGGCTGGGAGGCTGAGATGAGTGCCCAGCTGCAGAGCTATTCCCGGCTTTTTTATCAGTGGAAGTATGTTGAGCAATCAACAGACCTTTTTTAAGAATGTATTTCAAGCCTAAACTGATTCAATAGTCATCTGCTGTCCTTAAGAATCCTTGGAATTCTTGGTCCCGAATCAAATTTCGTTACATAAGATTTCTGCATGAGGAACCCATGATACTTTAGCTTATGGGAATATATGTTACAGTATATGGTTGTAAGCTAAGATAGGTATGGTGCTTTTTGTTTGCTTGTGTGTCTGTTTTTGAGCTTAGAAATGTCTATTCTGGGAGGCTTGAATGTGACTCTTTTTGCTAAGATCAAGTCCATGCGTGCAATGAGTGCTGCCTGGTTGAAATCCCTTGCAGAAATTCTGAGCTCTGTAGCTGAAAATGCATGTTAAATCCCCATTACTGGATAAGCAACTCTGTATGCTTATAACTCCTATATGGATGATTGGGGGGGGGGGCACTTACTTGTATACTGCTTCATACAGATGGCTTCCATCTAGTTGCTTTTGAAATTGCTCCAAATCCTTCATGCCAAGAGTGTGGGTGAGTGCACCTGCATGCAGGGGAACTCAAATCAACCCAGTGCTGTTCTGAACATATTTTTAATTGCTTCTCTATTGCAGCTCTTCTGTGCTGTGTACTCATACTGGTTGAAAACCTACAAGCACTAAAGTGACCAACTGTTGTATATGTAAAGTGGGATCAGAGCATTTTGCTCTCTGTCAAGTACCAGTTACATATCATTGCATCAGGAAGTTAGATCTGTATATTTTTGACTTGAGCAGTTCAATACAATAACTGAACTATTGGATCATCTGCTTATTTTGTAATAGCTTTCAGTGCTCTCAGGTACAAGCCTTTCTCAATTTCCTTCCTTCCTTCCTTCCTTCCTTCCTTCCTTCCTCTCAGACACTAAACCCAAGGTCTGTGACAACCAAATTATGTTCTTTACCCTAATTCTTTACTCAGAAAACTCAACCCTTCTCCCCAGCAATTCCCACAATTCAGATTTCTCATGATTAAGGATGAGGCAGAATAATAGATAACTCAAGCT